AACAGCCTGAAACATAAATAGATATTAGCTTTGAATTAGTTCACAGAGGCTGACTCACATGGATTCGATATCTTATCACTTGAGGATCATTCTTAGGTGAATGTATACATAAGAACATAAGAACATAAGAGATGCCAATGTTGGATTAGGCCAAAGGCCCATCCAGTCCAACACTCTGTATCACACAGTGGCCAGAAATACCAGTGCCATCAGGAGGTCCACCAGTGGAGCCACTACCCCATTGAAAAATATTGTGCTGGAGTCAACACAGAGTGATATGAAAAATCTGACTGGTGACTTATCTGTGGTGGCAGCTGTAGCACGCCTCAAGTTTATTTATTACTTTATGCATTTTGCATGTGATACTCACATCACTCTGTAAATTGTAGGCCTTTCTAGCTTGGATGACATCATTCTGATCTGGCAGACAGGTCCACTGGTGCAGGTAATTGCGGTAGTCAACATCACTGACCAGTTTCTGACAGTTCTTGGCCAATAAGACACCAAGCATATCCACAGGACTAATATACTTGGTCTTGGATTTCTCAAAGTCCTTCTTGTATTCCCTCTCACTCTGCATCTTGGCTACGTTCATAGAATGCACAAGTTTAGGGTCATCTTGTACGCTGCGAGCTCCCACATGATGACCCAGCTGCTTGCGATAACCTTCTTTGTATCTGTACTGCAATAAATCCACAAGCATAATATAAATTGCCTATCTGGTGGAGTACTTTATCAGATAACAGCCTTTTTAAAATCCTAATACTGTGTTAATACAGTGTATTACTATAAGAACCTATAGTTTGTGAGGCTATTTTATAGCAGCTTCATTGTATGACCCTTATTACCAAGCTCTTTCTTTCATTTTCATTTGAGTAATCAACTTTGTTACTTCTCTGTACAGGAATCCTGTGCAAGAATTCAGACTGAAAATTTTGGCTTGGCTCCAACATAGTTTTTCTGCATGTGGAAGGATTTTCACCTGTGCAGCATGACATTCTCATCTACCTTTCTTTCTAATTCCTGATGCATACCTTTGATTCAGGGACCTTCAAGATGAGCTCTGCTCACAGAACAGATAGCTGCTGCCCCTTCCACAGGTTGTAGCCCATTGAATGAAAGCTTGCTCCTGAGGATCAAGGAACTCTTAAAAGTATATGGATAAAGAAGGATAATTGGTGGAGATCATTCTCACCATGGGGAAGCTTGGATACAATCTGTCTTTTATTTCAGAATAAAAGGCAGCGTATCTTTGTCCTTCAAAGAGCCAGGAAAGGAAAAGCTACTATAAGCATTTCCAATATCATGGACATGCTTTGTGTTTGTTTTTTTCCTTTTTCCACAGAAAGCTGTTCTTAAACATAGTTTGTCACATTGCATGAAGAAATGCTTTAACATTTGCTTTACAATAGTCTTCACATCAACCTATGTCTCTTCCTACTTCAAATACTGGTTTTGTCTAATGTAAACCTTTTCAAAGCACCTTATCTCCTCCATTTCCTACTATCTTCCATTATATCCCTCCCTTTTATCTAACATTCCATTTCTATTCTAGTTTCTTCTTACTGCTTATCGAGTCTAGTTGCTGCATTTAACTCCAGCAATTCACAACAGTAAGTTCAATTTTAAAAAAATTAAAAATCATAGAAATTCTCTATTAAACTTTTTCTTATTTGACAAATCCCCCATAATTATGACACATTCCATTCATGGGCTCCCATTGTGTCATAAAAATTATTTCTTTCTGTGGAACAAAATGGCCACATACATCACTGGCAATATTTCTGGATGCTTTGGCGGCTTGAATTGGAATAGCGTCAACTCGCAGGTCATAGCCCTTCTTCTTTGATTCTTCCATAGCCAGTTTGTATAATTTCTATAAGAAAGAACAATAGTTAGGCTTCTGCCTTACTAAGCATGTATTTTACTTAATACAATCTAGTAAACCAGTAGAAAGTATACAACACGTTTTACTTCACTGTTTTCTAAACCTACTCCCTTTTTATTGTGCATCTCCCCCCAACCCTGCCTTTCCTTATGTACTCAAGACATTTCCCAGAATTTATTGCTTGACACTGAGTGCCAACTCAGGTATAGAGCACAAACAGGTTCACAATCTAAAGTTCATGATGAATTTTGGGCAGTTCGTGGTTTGCAAACTGAACTTTCAAGTGGTTTATGGCAGTTCTTGAATGGATACATGTACAGACAGACTGTAATCAAACTTCAGAGCAACAGGGGGGTGGAATTCTCCAGCCTTGGAAACACCAATAGGGGCCCTCCAAAGCTTAACAGGCACTGCCTGTCTGCCAATGACAGAGTTCCCATTCTGCTCTATAGATTCAGAATATTTTATATACCCTAAGCTGAGCTCCACACCCTCTCCTCTGTTGGGTATTGGCAGTTTGACAGAGAGGCAGGGAACTTCTTAAAAGCAGAGCACATTCACTTATTCCTGACTGTGAACACCTTTCCCCTGGTGGGGTTTAGGTTTTAAGGCTCTGAGTCACCTCATCTCTCTGCTCATGCCGAGCAGAGGAGCTTAGCTACTGTGTGCCTCAGCTGAGGACCCACATTTATACTCTCCCACCCCTCCTGATTGTAAACACTTCTCCCCTGGTGAGGTTTGGGTGCCAAGTGGACTGAGGGCTCAGAGCCACTTTGTCTCTCTGCTCACGCTGAGCAGAGGGGCTTAGCTAATGGGTGCCTCAGCTGAGGACCCACATTTATACTCTCCCACCCCTCCGATTGTGAACTCCACTCCCCTGGTGGGATTTGGCTGTTAGGTGGACTCAGGGCTTTGAGGTCTCTGCTCAGGTTGAGCAGAGGGACTTAGCTAATGGCTGCTGTGACGAACCCCCTTATTTCTGGGTATGTGCTGATTTGTTCCTTCACTCCTTTTCAAGTTGAAACAGTCTTATTTTTCACTGACACTGTCACTGTTTGACCAGGAACCCACTCAGTTCGTCCTTCTGTCACACGCCCAGCCACTTATTGATGAGACCTTTTTATAAACATTAATCTCTGTGGCTTTTCACGAACACCGCCCTTTTTCTGAGATGCATCTTGTGGTTTAACTTTGTCAGGTGCTTTACTTTGTCAGACACTGAGGCACATGCGACTGGGAACAATAAAACAAACTGAAGGGCAGGCAGGCAGCCTTAGGTCAGTTCACTTATAATCACTCACTTCAGATGATACACTACAAAACACACTCTCTCCAATCTCAACCCCTGTGCTTTTCTAGACTGTCAGTTTCTGTGTGGATTTCTCAGGTACTCTCCACTTCCACAGAGAAATACCTTTGCTGTGCCTTGGTTTCTGGACACCCACTAGTCCACTAAACCCTCCTGGCACATACTACATCCACTAAACCTAACTCTCTCTCCATCAGGGTATAGACCTTATGTGAGAGGTACGTGAATCTCTTGTTTAACCCGAAGGAGCTTATTTTCCTTTTAAGACTCCTTAGTTTTCACTGTAGTATAGAATTTGGCTCTTCTCAGGTTCCCTTAATATCGGAATCTGTAGAGAAGTCTCCTTTGCTCCTCAGACTCAGAGATGTTCAACAAGACTTGTCAGTCCCCGGCCAAGTACCCACTGACCACAATCAACTGACAGTCTCAATTGCCAAACTCCAACTGTCAAGAGTTGTTTTTTTCATTAGAACCCCCCCCCCTCAAGTTCTGCATCGAAATTACATCACCACTGCTAGTCATGGGACTGCAGGTGTCTTTTCTTGCAGGCTGATCCCAAGCCTGGAGTCCGTCACAGCTGCCTTGGCTGAAAGCTCACATTTAAGCCCTCCCACCCCTCCTAATTGTGAACACTTATCCCCTGGTGGGGTTTGGGTGTTAGGTGGACTCAGGGCTCAGAGCCACCCCATCTCTCTGCTCATGCTGAGCAGAGGGGCTTAGCTACAGGGTGCCTCAGTTGAGGACCCACATTTTATACCCTCCCACTCCCCCTGAGTGTGAACACCTCTGTATGCCATGAGGGTGAAAGAGTGCTCATTGTGGGGGGGGAGAGAAGTCCTCCACCCCCTGCGTACCACAGGCCCCTGTCCCTGGGAGCCAAATGCATCCTGCCAGGCCACTGGAGCTTGTCACTAGCAGGGCATCACCAGGGGTCTCAGAGCCTCCTTCCCCTGATCTGTTCTGGGTGCTCTCCACAGAGGCAAAAGAGTTGTTATCACTGCCCAGAGACACCAGTAGTTGCTAATGCTCTTTGGACAGGAGGACTCTGACAGCAGTGATTCAGAGGGTGGGGGGAAGGATTCTCCCCTTCCACATCCCAAATCCCTGTTGGTGCTCCTACTTCCAGTACACCCCTCTGTGGCCCAGCCCAGCACCAGAAAACACCTCCCATCTTCTCCAATCTTAGGGCCTTGTTTCCAGCCCACACTTTGGAAACATTTCCACACCCTCCCCAGTGACCCCTGTGTGGCAGAGTGGCAGGTGCACCACACCCATGTCCAGAGGGGTGCAAACCCACAACGCTGGTCCTCCTCTGTCCTCCACAGGCACTAGCAAAGGGTGCACCCAACAATGTTGCTGCTGGAGGAAAGAGTGGCAGCTAGCAGGAGGAAGAAGAGGCCCATTCCCTCTGAGCAGGGAGAACCAGAGGGGGAGTAGAAGGCCCCTCCAAGGAAGCTCCCCACACTTGGGGTGCCATGGGTGGGACATCACAGCAGGCCACCCTCCAATAGGTCATTCCCACGGGGATGCCAACAGTGCCATCCAAAAGGGCTACATGAAGGACTCAGGAAGTAGTCACTTGCCTCATCAGCGAGATAATTGCTCTGGATGGCCAACTGTTCTCCCATTTGGAGGATGTAGTCTTTCACTGGCTGCTGCAACACATGGCTCCCTTTTACTCCATCCCCTTGTGGAGGACCATGAGTTGAAAAGTCTTGCCAGCCATGCACCGCTCCACAGTAGCAATTTCTCCCTTTGATTATCACTCTTCTCACACCACCACCCTGAGCCATCCAAAAGATCTCCTGCTCCCTCAAAATGTCTGCTGCCTGAAACTGCCTCTCAGAACACCTGCATGATACCACATCTCACACCTTCCTGCAAATTCCTCCTTAAATCTCAGTTGTCTGTGAAACTTTTGACACAGGGAGCAATCCTGAGGAAGCCTACTCAGCAAGCACCATGTTATGTCATGGGGTTTACTCTCAGGCAAGTATTACAGCCATAGCCACTTAAAACAGAGTTCAAACATGCATATTCTTCTCTTCAGGATCTCCACCTCCCTGCATCTCCCTTTCCATTATAATCTCTCCTATGCACATTTTAGATTGTAAGCTTTGTTGAGAAAGAACCTGTCTTTTTGGACCCTGTACAGCTCCATCATATTCATGGTACCCAGAAGCTAAGCAGTGTTGGCCCTGGTTCATATTGGATGGCAGACCACCAAGGAAGTCCAGGGTCACTACACATCAGCAGGCAATGGCAAACCATCTCTGAACACCTCTTGCCTTGAAAACCCTACAGGATTTCCATAAACCCACTGCAACCTGACAGCGCGTTCCCCCACCAAATCATGGTAATAAAGCTGCATGTTGAATTGTGCCTGGATAACTGTGGGCATCCCATCTAAGCACATTGCAGCAATGTTTGGAAGGTGGTAATCACATGTCCTTCAGCCCATGCCCACTACTAGCAGTACTTAAGATTGCCTGAAGCAGCCACATCTGCCAGTATACATGGGATACATGGGATGACAGCTTTGTTCATATTGTACCTACCTCACTGTAGTTTAGTTTATTGAATTTGGCTAGCATGATTTCAGGAGTATCAGGCATCACGTGAATTGTTCTTTTGTCATTATCCCAAGCTTCAGTATACAGGCGCTGTGAAACAACATCAGAATAAGAAACAGTTGTTATAGGAACAATTATCCAGCAGCATTTTTACAGAAAGGGCTTTCCTATTGAATTAAATGAAAATGGTTTTCCTTGAGAAATCTAAACTACTTTACCAGTTTTGTTTATTTTATTTTCGCCTTTGTTGTTTTATATGGAGAAGATCCATTCCAATCATCTTATTTATTTGTTCAAATTTTAAGCATAGCTTATTCAAAAGGGCCCAGGTTCCTGTCATCCAGGAGGTTTGCAGTAACGGATTAAATAAAAACATCTCAAACTACATGAAGTGGAAGTGCATGAGGAATATGTTGACATCATAACCACTTTGCTCACTTGACCATTCCATAAAGATTTCTTCATCCTCAAAGAAACCTATCAAGACTGAATGTGTGTGTCATATTTCAACTATGTAGCACAAACTGTATGAAGAAAAATTACGCTCTTTTAATTGATGTAGTTGCAAGATATTTTTAACGTACTGTGGCTGCATTTTGCTTTTTGACCAAAACCACATGTACTCTGTAAAGCACAGGATGGGATCAAATGAAATTGTAAAATGCACTTCCCTGCAAGATCAAGTCAATTCAGAAACCCAACAGCTCTTGTCCTTCAGCTCTTAGATTGAGGGTCATGGCCTAGAGCTGGATGAAAGAGCAAACAGAAGACAGAGGAGGACCTGGTCTGTATTTAGAAGCCTCCTCTCCCTTCTGCTTTTGTGTATTTTTTTTTACTCTATGTGTGTAAGTGTGTGCATGTATGGGTGCGTGTTGTAAACCATACTTGGGTCCTCACTGGGGTACTCATTGGGAAGAAAAGTGGGATAACATTAATTAATCAATACATTTCTTCATATGTTGGAAAGATCATAGAATCAATGGGAATATGTAGGAAGGATTTTTCAAATCGTTTATTCCTCCTCTCCCCCTGGTAATTCCTCATAGGTTCCCAGCTTGCATTACTTTGAATATAACATGCTTTTCCTCAGTAGCTTATACTACAAAAGTTATTCGTTTTTTGCATAGTTCAGACTCACCTTATTCATTGTTTCTGCATTTTGTTTGGCTAAGGCCATTTCCAGAGAATCCGTCACACTAGTAAATTTGAATCTGTCTGGTGGCTGACGATATTGCTTTTCACTTAGGATCTCTCCAGCTTTCTTGGCTTTTTCAACATCCAGTGAGCCAATGGGGACCCAGCCAATGCCCTTCATCCACTGAAGGTCTAGCTTGTAGTTATTCTGTGTACAAGAAATACAAAGGAAGACAGTTACTTAACATTCATAATACAAACGGAACAAGAATCACTCAAATTATACAATACGGTTTGGGTAGGGGGGAAAGACAACAATTCTCTCTAAGAATCCAAAGAAGCTCACAACATTGTTCTCCTCTCCTTTATTTTATCCTCATACAACAACAAATACAGTGATGTAACTAAAAGGTAAGAAATGTTCACTAGCCCAAGATCACCATCCAGCAAGTTTTCCACAAATAACATGTACAGATTTCATAATTTGCTAGATAGGTTTGAAGCCAATATTGGACTTACACCTGCCTTATATGTGAATGGTCAAACATATGAATTAACAAACAGGGGTGATGCAAGCATGTCTAAGTTTGGAACTAATGTAAATAGTACTCACATCGCTCTGTAGATCGTAAGCCTTTCTAGCTTGGATGACATCATTCTGATCTGGCAGACAGGTCCACTGGTGCAGGTGAGTGCGGTAGTCAACATCACTGACCAGTTTCTGACAGTTCTTGGCCAATAAGACACCAAGCATATCTACAGGACTAATATACTTGGTCTTCCATTTCTCAAAGTCCTTCTTGTATTCCCTCTCACTCTGCATCTTGGCTACATTCATACAATGAACAAGTTTAGGGTCATCTTGTACGCTGCGAGCTCCCACATGATGACCAAGCTGCTTGCGATAACCTTCTTTGTATTTGTACTGTAATTAAAAAAACAAAAACAAAATGCATGCACTTCTAAGAAAAAGCACCAGTTCTATTTTCCAGAAAGAGACCTATCTAAAGTAAAAAACCCAACACTTCAAGGCTATTTCATGATATATCTGAAAGAGACATCTCAGAGTTTCAAAAACTCCCATTACAAGCTAGTTACATATGTGGCTGATAACCAGGTGAGAAATTCAGTCAGACTATGAATAGTGCTTCCTCTGAACTGTAAAGGGCATGAGCTACCTAAATCTTTAAATCAAAATCTGGAAGAAGTTCTTCGTTATTACAAGGTGGCCATGAAGCATTCTGAAGAGCTATCTTCTCTTTATAGTAAAGAAACTAAAATAGTTAAGGCAATCAACATGTCCAGCAGCAATAAAGTAAATAATCAGTCTATACTCAGCATACAAGCTCCAATGTTCTGCCCTAGTCTTTGGCTTTGAACTACCATTTTGATTTAACTTCCTCAGAATTGGGGATTCACCCACTGCATAGTCTGAATACAGAGAAAAACTAAACTATGGAATATTGCTGTTTGAAATGTGAACAAAAAGCTGTTATTGGAATAAAAAGTTCATCAACACAGGCCAGTCCTCATTGGTAATCATGGAGAATATGAAATAAATTGCTCTATCCTATTTTTTTAGTGTACTCTGACAGCATGAAGAGACCCTTTTTTCCATTCCCTACATGCATTTGGTTGCATCTAAGTATTAGACTAATGGGCCTTATCTAAACATACTTGGGAGTCTCTGATATGAGTAGGACTTATTTCTGAGTTACCATACATAGGACTGAGCTGTATGGACACCCACCAGAGCATATTAACCTGGCCTGGAAGTAAATCCTACTGAATTAGAACATCATGAAGATGCAGCTCTTTTTTTTTTTTTTTTTTTTTTTAGACATAGTTTATCTTGATTTCAGTAAGGCTTTTGATAAGGTTCCACATAATATTCTTGTTGACAGATTGGAAAAATGTGGTTTGGATCCTATGACTGTTAGGTGGATCTGTACCTGGTTGACCGATCACACCCAAAGGGTGCTTGTGAATGGTTCCTCATCTTCTTGGAGTGGCAAGTGGAATGCCTCAAGGATCTGTCCTGGGACATGTTTTGTTCAACATCCATAATTTGGATGAAGGAATAGAGGGAATGCTTATTAAATTTGCAGATGATACTAAATTGGGAGGGGTAGCAAATATGGAAGAAGACATAGTCAGGATACAGGATGATCTAGACAGGCTGGAAAACTGGGCTAAAACAAATAATATGAACTTCAATGGGAATAAATGTGAAGTTCTGCATTTAGGTAGGAAAAATCAAATGCACAATCATAGGTTGGGGAAGACTTGTCTTGGCAGTAGTATGTGTGAAAAGGATCTAGTGGTCTTAGTAGACCATACACTGAACATGAGTCAGCAGTGTGAAGTGGTTGCTAAAAAGGCAAATGCAATTTCGGGCTGTATCAACAAAAGTATAGTATCCAGATCACGTGAAGTGCTGGTACCACTTTACTCTCCTCACCTAGAGCATTGTGTTCAGTTTTGGGCACCACAATTTAAGAAGGATATAGACAAGCTGGAACATGTCCAGAGGAGGGCAACAATGATGGTGAGGGGTCTGGAGACCAAGTCCTATGAAGAAAGGTTGAAGGAGCTGGGTATGTTTAGTTTGAAGAGGAGACAACTGAGAGGTGATACGATAACCATCTTCAAGTACTTGAAGGGCTGTCATATAGAGTTGTTTTCTGTTGCCCCAGAAGGTCAGACCAGAACTAACAGGTTGAAATTAAATCAGAAGAGTTTTCGGCTAAAGATTAGGAAGAACTTCCTGACAGTTAGAGCCGTTCCTCAGTGGAACAGGCTTCCTTGGGAAGTGGTGGGCTCTCCTTCTTTGGAGGTTTTCAAACAGTGGCTAGATGGTCATCTCACAGCAATGCTGATTGTGTGAACTTAGGCAGATAATGAGAGTGAGGGCAGGAAGGGTTGCCTCAGTGCTTAGTTCTTGTGGCCCTTTCTTACATGCCCAGGGAAATGCTGATCACCACTTTTGGGTCAAGAAGCCATTTTTCTCCAGGCCGGTTTGGCCAGGGATCCTGGAGGTTTTTTGTCATCTTCTGGGCATGGAACAGTGGTCACTGTGGGTGTGGAGGGGGAGGTATTTGTGAATTTCCTGCATTGTGCAGGGGGTTGGACTAGATGTCCCTAGAGGTCCCTTCCAACTCTATGATTCTATTATTCTAACTGGAACTTTTGCTATTCATCTTAGACTCAATAAAATACTACTCACATCACTGGCAATATTTCTCGATGCCTTGGCAGCCTGGATTGGAATGGCATCAATTCGCAAATCATACCCCTTCTTCCTTGCTTCTTCCAGTGAACGTTTATATAAACTCTTTTTTTAAAAAAAAGAAAAAGCTTCTATTATTTAAAAATGACAATTCTGAATGATCATTACATATTGCCTTTCTTTGCAAGATAATTTATACAGACAAGCAGATACAAAGAGCACTGTGCGACTTCTTCAGAGTTACTCTTTCAAAACGTAGTAGCAGGAAGACCTCATTCATGCATCTGCCTCCACATGTCACTTGGTGCAGCAGCAGCAGCCACTGCATTAATGGAATCACTAGAACTCCATCCTTGCAATTAGTATCCCAATAATTATAAGGTTTTCTCTGATGTGTCAAGACTGAGACAAAAGGACAAGCCAATGTCTCGTTCTCATATAACAGAGAAAAGTCATTTTCCACAACTTCCTTTGGCACTGGGAACAAGGAACAAGAGTGGATTAATTTCTTCTGAGTCTACAGGAATTCCTGAGTCAGTCTGGGAGCTTGACCTGTAGCTGAAAGAAACAGATCTTCCGATGATTCTGGACCAAATTGGTAAACTTGCCCGGGGATTGATAGGAATGACACTTCTGTTTCTTCAGTCCCAGAGCAAGTTGTAAATCAAATGAAAGGCCACATATTTGGACAAAAACATATTTGGACAAAACTGATTAACTGAAATTATAATATGATTCAGGCATAAATAATAATTATAATGACAGCCCAAACTACTCAACATGTATCATCAGGGTTACAGATCATAATCTTCACACAGGAATGACCACACAAAAATAAATTAATCATTTAACATACCTTATGTCAAACAAGCTCACCTCACTATAGTTGATCTTATTTTCCCTCGCCAAAGTGATTTCAGGGGTGTCAGGCATCATGTGGATTTGAGTCTTGTCTTTATTCCAGGCTTCAGTGTACAAATGCTGCAAAAAGAATACATGTTTGGAGTATTTCAGTGGCAGCTCCCTCTCTTATCACCCTCCAGGAGAAACATTCTTGGTTTCAAATTTGTGCAGGCCACACCTTCTTGTAGTCACAAACCCAAAAGATGAAGATACAGCAGAAAACATTAAAAGAGGTCATAAATTGTTTAAATTTGCCAAGGAACATTCATACATCCCTGGCACAGATCAAACCAATGCATGTTATGGGCTGATCCAAAGCAATGGTGGAACCATTCCAATACACCTCCTTAGCACAATTCTCCAAACTGTTCGGTTAGCATTGCTGTACTAAGCTGTGTTGTTAATCTGTGCATTTTACTTAGTGCTCACCTTACTCATTGTTTCTGCATTATGCTTGGCCAAGACTACTTCTAGAGAATCCGTCACACTAGTAAATTTGAATGTGTCCGGGGGCTGACGATATTTCTTTTCACTTAGGATCTCTCCAGCTTTCTTGGCTTTTTCAACATCCAGTGAGCCAATGGGGACCCAGCCAATGCCTTTCATCCACTGAAGGTCTAGCTTGTAGCAATTCTGTTTACAGGTATATAAAAGCTCTTTAGGTGACATTTACAGACAAACATATCAAAACAACGCACCCTAAAACTTGTAATAAGCTTCACTTTTATTATACCACTAGCAGTAAAGCCCGTTGTGAAAGCAATACAACGGGATCTAGAAAGAGGCTCTGGGGCAGTGCTCTGGCTTTGGGCAAACAGTGTCAATTTGCTGTGGTGACCTTAGCAGGGTATAATGACAGAGTCCACTGTTTTCTCCAGAGGAACTGATCTCTGCTACCTGAAGAGCAGTTGTAATTGTGAGTAATCTGTAGCCCTCACCTGGAGATTGGCAACAATTGTTACCCAGGACAAAATGGCTGGTTTGGAGGGTGGAGTCTATGGCATTCTACCTGTCTGAGGTCCCACCCCTCTGCAAACCCCACCCTCTCCAGGCTCCACCCCTCAAATCCCCAGGAATTTGTCAGGATGTAGTTGGCAACCCCATCTCCTTCCCAGCTAGCCATCAACCTACCATTATCTGCCCCTTTGACTTCAGCTGACTTCTGCCCTCCCTTCTGCAGAGCAGTTGTAATTCTGAGTGCTCTCCAGCCCTCACCTGGAGATTGGCAACAATGGTTCCCTATGTGGGACTGACTGGTTTGGAGGGTGGAGTCTATGGCAGTGTACCTGTCTGAGGTCCCACCCCTCCTCAAACCTCACCCTCTTCAGGCTCCATCCCTCAAGTCTCCAGGAATTTTCCTTCTGGAGTTGGCAACCCTATCAGGATTGGCCCCAATGTGGTTTCTCCCAAAGGCCAAAGTAGGTGACAGGACCAAGCTTAGTTGCCTACCAACAGGCACTGAGGGGAATGTAGGGTTGCCAGCTCTAAGGAGGGAAATACCTGGAGGTTTTGGGGGTGGATTCTGTAGAGGGCCGGGCAACGGAGGCATCGGCCTTCCGTCGCCCGCCTTGCCCCCCCAATCTTGGCCCGGGC